AAAACAAAAAAATTTCTCCCCTTTAATGATGACCCCAGCCCTCCCCCGCATGAAGGAGGGAGTAGGTCTCCCTCCACTGCTCTGTTTTGTGGGAAGAAAGTGAGGCCCAGAGAAGTCAAGGAACTTGCCCGAGGTCACCAGCATGGAAGTGGCAGAGTGGGAGCTTGAACTCAGGCCTGTCTGACTCTGACTCTCTCGCCTGCCTCTCGGGACCCCCTTGGCATCTTCTGAGCACTGTCCTGGGCGTTCAGGGCCCATCCTGTCACAGGACCCCCGGATGGCCCCCCTCACCCCACAGAAGTTCACTAAGCACAGCGGAGCTGAGGATGGCTCTCAACCTACCAGAGGCGGGAGACCGAGGCTCAGGGAGGGGAGGTCTGCATGGGGCTGTACCCAGGGTCATGTAATTTGGGGACAGCTCTGGCCTCAGTCTCTGCAGAGAAGCCACTGTCCAGACCCCTGCACTGGAAATGCAAACTGCAACCTTGGATGGAGCATCCAGTGTGGTCTGTGAGGGGAGGACTGTGAGGGGAGGGCTGTGCCTCTGGACCGGGGGGAGACCCCTGAGGTTAGAGGCGGGGCTGCCTCCCACCCCTGTGGCAAATCATTCAACAGAGCCCCTCCAACGGGGCAGCCGCTGGGCCAGCCCATGGAACTGGCGCCACCATGGTTCCCAGCGCCCCACCTCCAGCCAAGTTCAAGTTCATCTTGGCCATTACCTCATGTCTGGTTTCTGTTGGCAACCGACAGACTCTGGGCGTGACCCTCCCGTGGTGGACCAGCCTCCCCTCAGCCCTTCCTCCCCCTCCTCCCTCCCCTCCCCTTCCTGCCTGGCTCTGGCCCCAGCAGTGGTGGTAGGGGAGGTACCCTCAACTCCATATCCTCCCACTCAGCTGAGGGGAGATCGAGGCAGCGGGTGTGTAGGGTGAGGTCCGGGCTCTGGTATCCCGCTGGCCTGGCTGCAGCCGCTTGTGTGGCTCCGGGCATGTGGCTCAACGCCTGCCTTGCCCCCCACCCTCGGTTTACCCACCTGCTTACGTGGGCCCCCGTGCAGGAGAAATGTAGGGGCGGGGAGGGCATCACAGAGGGGAGGGGCCGGGGCATCAGAGCCACTCAGCCTCACGGTGGGGGGATTAATGGGGAAGGACAAGGGGGGATGGGTGGGTAACTGACCAGGGCAAGATCAATTAGCATTGATCACGGAGAGGGATATTGATCGGGGGAGAGTCTGTGGACTGGGGGGTGTCGGGAGCCGGAGAGGCAGAGGGGAAGGGGCGCCCACCCAGGCTTCGGGGGAGGAGGGGGCAGAGGGAAGCGAATCCCTGCCAGGAATAGAGGAGGCGGAGGCAGAAGTGCTGACTGGCCAGAATCGGAAATGAGAGGCCTCTGAGCTCAGGGTCCTTTGAGCGGGAGCGGGGAGACGGGAGAGCGGCTCTCACTGCTTCTTCCCTCCCTCTCTCCGGGGTCTGCAGGGAGGCAGCGGTGCCCGGCCTCACCCCGGGTGCTCTTAGTCCAGTCAGGGCAGCAGCGCTGGGGTCCTCCCCAGACCTGCCCTCCCCTGACACCCACTTTGGGGACCTCGCCTTTCCCCCAACTCATGCTCCCCTGAGAGCCTCTTGACAATGTGTCACCTCCCCTCTGTGTCCCAGAAAGTTCTGACTCCCAGGCCTGGCGGGTGGCCACTCCCTCCCTCTGAACCCTTCTGTGGCTCCCCACTACCCCAGAGCAAAGCCCAGCCCAGGTCATCTGTCTGGCGCCTGCCATCGGAGGTCTCTCACATTCCAGCCATTTCCCACATCGCCCCCCCCAACAACATTGCCTATGCTGAGACCCCTGCCAGTGCCCCCCCACCCACCCCATTCCGCCAGCCCTGTTCCCATTCCTTCAGGGTTCCCAGAGGGGTCCAGCCAGTCCAGAGAGGGATGCTAAGAAAGATGCCGCCCTTGCCTGCCTCAGTTTCCCTCCCCTCCCAGGCTTGAGCGGGGTGGGACTGGAGCCAGCGCAGTCTGAGAAGGGTCCCGGGCCCTGGCAGGACTGCCCGGTCAGAGTTTCGTCCAAGGCAGGGGCTGGGGAAGGGTTAAGCAGGCAGCCTCCTCCCGCCGCAGCTTTTATTAGCTTTGGGTTCTGAACCACTTAAGACATTCCCAGCCTCCGGCAGGGAGAGATGCGGGGTGGGGGTGGCAGAGGTAATGCCTGGCTCCATCAGCACTGGGCAAGGGAGAGGGTGGTCGGTCATAGGTGGCCCAAATCCCAAAGTGAGGAGTCCTGGATGTCTGCTCGCAGAGGGCCCTGACCAAGCCACTCCCCTCACCAGGGCTCTGTGGGTGCAAGGCAGGGTGCTTAATGTTTAGGGGGTGTGGGGAAGTCTGAACCTATCTGTGCCCTTTCTATCCCCCAGTGCCCTTCAAAGGCTCCTGGTGTGGGTACCCAAGGCCAGAGGAAGAGACAGAGGTTCAGAGCCAGCGCTGGGCTGCAGCCCTGGCTCCTGACCCAGGATTCCCTACACCCACGGCACGCGGGTCTCCTCTGAACTCAGAAGCAGCTGCAATCCCTGCTTCCTCTCTGGATGGTTTTGTGGAGCCTGGGAGGAGAGGGAGGGGCCGCCTACAGGCGTCCTGGGCACCCAGCACAGGGAGGGAGGGGGAGTGCCATGTCCCCTCCCCCACCCCATCCGCTCAGCCAGGACAGCCCCGCAGGGTCCCGGGGAGGCCCCCTGACCCTTGCCTGTGCCCTCTGCATCAGGAAACCTCCCGCAGTGGCCGGAAGATTTGAACACGGCCCCTGGGGACCCCACACAACTCCACGCTCTGCAGTTCTTTGGCTGCTGGGTAGACCAGAGCTCGTTTCTCTCGGCGTCTGGACCTCCCAGGCCTGCGGCAGCCGCCCCTATATCCTCCAACCCTCTCCCCAACACAAACCGGGAGACAGCAGAGGCTCAAAGGTCCGGCTGCTCACTCACAACCCGCAGACGCACTCACACACTCCTGGCCTGCACAGAGCCTCTTGCGGGGGTGGGGGGCTAGGGATACCTGGGCCTGGGGCTAAGGCTGCCCTCCCACGCCCCCACTCCCTAGACTGCTGTGCAGCCTCAGGCAATTCACTTCCCCTCTCTGAACCTCCTCTGTCCACCGCCTGCCTGCCCGCCTGCCTTCTGGCGGTGGTAGGACCCCGGCCACGCTCACTCGGCTGCAGCCGCCTGATCATGAAGGTCAGCATGGACACGGACGCCGGCCCCTGCCCCATCCTGTCTGTTCTACTGACGAAGCCCCTCTGCCCCGACCCCTCACACTGGCTTTGACGTGGGCTGGAGCCTGGGGTGGGGGCTCGGATGCTGTCCTGGGAGGCCCCACGCCCCGCCATGGGCTGCCTCGGTTTCCCCGGCTGGTCCCTCTAGGCCTCAGTGTGGATGGGGGATGGAGGCTGGGGGCGGGGGGTGATGCGCTGTGTGACCCTGGGCAGATCCCCTTGTCTCTCTGGGCCTTAGTTTTCCCATCTGTGCAATGGGAAGCAAATGGTAACGACACTGGTCTCATAGCTCTACCATGATGGCACCATGATGGTCTCCAGGAGACGCCCCTGGGGACCCCACAGGCTGAGTCTGGGGCCACACCCCATCCCCCCAGGACCAAGGTGGAGGGAAATTTGGCCTCAGGGAGAGGCCAGGCGGGGGCTCGAGGCCCAGGTGGGGTGTGGGAGGCTGGCGCCCCTGTGCCAGGGCTGTGGCGTGGCACCCAGCAGGCCCTCCTCGCCCTGAGCCCCCCGGGCCGGCCCCACTGCCCTGCCCCTCCCGCCCCCCCAGCCGGCCTCTTGGCCCCTACCTGTGCCTGATAAATGCCCGCAGGATCCCTTGGTCCTAATCCCACAAAGGAACGGTTTGCAGGGGACGTGTCGGGCGGAGAGTAGGCTGCAGGGAGGAGAGAGACCGAGAGCCCATTAGCGAGGGGTTGCGGGAGCTGGGGCAGCCCTGGCCCCAGAGATGGTGGCCACCGCCAGGCGTCACACAGCCGCGCCTCCGCACCCGGTGCCTGGGGCCTCCGAGCCTGCCGCCCTCCCTCGGCTGAACCGAGCCCCCCTGAAAGGCCCGAGGTCCTTGGGAGGCAGGGATCCTGACTCGAGGGGCCCGGGGGTCACGGCTGACATCGCCCAGGTGGGCGGGGTGTCTGCTGAGAGGGAAGGCAGGATGGCTCCGTAATGCACAAAACCGCCCGTGAATTATTCAGGGTGTGCAGTGCCCGCCCGATCCTGCCACTGAGGGCTGCCTCCGCGCGGGGTGCATGAATTATTGAGGGCGTTTTATTAATCTTCCTCCCGGAGAGGGCAGAGGGCGGGCTGGGTGTGTGCATACATACAGATGTGCATATTTATATTTCAGTCTCAGCGATTATATTTTGTCGGCGTGTGAGTAACTCACGGCCTGGCGCTACAGCGGGGATGGGGGCCTCAGACAGGCCAGGACCCAGGTAGGGGGAGAAGCAGCTGCAACAGGTGGGGTCCCCAAGTTGTCCTGGCTGGGGCTTGGGGGAGCTGGAGGCAGCGAGGCTCAGGGGGAGAAGTAGGAGTAGATTTGCAGTTAAGAGCCCCCGTGCAGAGAAAGGGGGGTGGAATCCATGCCTATCCTGCATTTATTAAGTGTCTACTGTATGCCAGGCACTGGGCATAATCCCATTGAGCCCTGAGTGTACCCTACGCAGCATCCTGCATCTATTAAGTGTCTATTGTATGCTAGGCACTGGGCATAATCCCATTGAGCCCTGAGTGGATACTACACAGTATCCTGCATCCGTTAAGTGTCTACTGTATACCAGGCTCTGGGCATAATTCCACCGAGCCCTGAATGGGTCCTACACAGTATCCTGCATCTATTAAGTGTCTACTGTATACCAGGGTCTGGGCGCAATCCCACCAAACCCTGACTGGGTCCTATGCAGGATCCTGCATTTATTAAGTGTCTATTGTATGCGAGGCACTGGGCATAATCCCATTGAGCCCTGAGTGGATACTACACAGTATCCTGCATCCATTAAGTGTCTACTGTATACCAGGCTCTGGGCACAATCCCACCGAACCCTGAGTGGATCCTCTGCAGGATCCTGCATTTATTAAGTGTCTATTGCATACCAGGCTCTGGGCATGATCCCACCGAGCTCTGAGTGGGTCCTACACAGTATCCTGCATCTATTAAGTGTCTACTGTATACCAGGCTCTGGGCACAATCCCACCGAACCCTGAGTGGATCCTCTGCAGGATCCTGCATTTATTAAGTGTCTATTGTATACCAGGCTCTGGGCATGATCCCACTGAGCCCTGAGTGGATCCTATGCAGTCAATGCTCCCATTTCACAGATGAGCAGGCAGGGACGGCGGGCAAGAATGACCACAGCTGCCTGACACCACGCAGCGTCAGGCGCCACGAGGAACGTCCACCCTGCCTCCCTGACCCACGTCACCGGCTTGTTCCCCACTGCCCTGGGAATTGGGCACCAAGGCGAACCCATTTTGCAGCTGAGAAAACTGAGGCTCAGAGAGGGGAAGACACCTGCCTGAGGTCACACAGGGAGAGAGCTGCAGAGGCGGGATTCCAGCCTAGGGTGGATTTGGGGCCGATCTCCTCCAGCCAGTGCTCTCAGAAGAAGCCGTTTTTTTTTTTTGTTTTTTTTTTTTTTGTTTTTTTTTTTTTGAGACGGAGTCTTGCTTTGTCACCCAGGCTGGAGTGCAGTGATGCGATCTTGGCTCACTGCAAGCTCCGCCTCCCGGGTTTAC